GTTCAAGGTAATAGCAGCCCATCATTTTAATTTTGTGGAAAGAGGCCTTTAGCTCTTTTGGTCTGATTCTTCTTTCTTGTTCATAAGCAATTATCTCCCCATCTCCCTTGCTCTATTTCCTCCACCATAACATTGGCTCCAGCATATGAGAAAGGCTAGGAAGACATTGCTTTGAATTATAGCAGACTTGAATGTTTCTATTCTGTTTAAATATACTTCCTCTCATATGGATGTATATTACACATGCAGGCAATATACACATAAAAACACAAAATCAGCTGTTAGTAATTATAAGTGTTTCAACCCAAGCAAGAGCTTCCTAGCAGAAAATATCAAATATCGTACTATATATTTTTATCAAGAATCTACTGAATAAATATTCATTTGCTGCATGACTCCCATCAACACATACAACATTCCTACTCATTAAACTCCTAGAAATAAAGAAGGTTCATAAAGGAAACAGGTTCAAATTCAAGAGGTCTTTTCAGATATCCGAAAATATACACATCTATAAATTATAAAAGAAAATTAAATTCCTTCACCAATCAAGTAAATTTACAGATGCTGTGGATTTCTAGAACTTCAGGAGCTGTAGAGATGATGCAGTTAAGAAGTCATAGTTTAATTTATCTCAAGAGGAAATTACTAAATTCTGCCTGAATATCATGTTTGATGTTCCACAGATTAGAAGTGAGAATTGGTCTCAGAACCTTGGGAGCTACAAGATTGAATTGCAGTAGTAATAGAGGTGTCATTGTTATTTCTTCAGTAATTAAAATATAATAGTTGCTAATATTTGATAGTTCATATTTTACATGAATTTTCTTTTATAATGTTAAAAAAAAGTTAAGAGGTTGAAAAATTTGGCCAACACTCTAGCCACTCTATCGATGGAGCACCAGATTACCACGATGTGCTTTGCAGCTCTCAAAGGACATATTTCTTTTTTTTAAATGATATTCACAAATATTTTGTCATCTCTGGCCTTTAATTTTTTTTTAAACATCTGTTTGCTTCATTCAATTTTGTATATTTTTTGATGGTCACTTTAAAGGGAATGTGTGTAGAAACTCTAAACCTGAACGTAACTTCATACTCACTCATACAAGCTGAGACAGAATTCCAGTCTATTGATTTCTATATTATGTAATCCTGTATTTTATCTTGTTCATTAGATAGTACATGTTTTCTACAATTCTATTCTTTTCAGCAACTATCATAGAAAAAGAGATAAAATACAAACACTTATTTCAGAAAACAAAATAATTATTTCAGTGCAATTCTAAAAACTATAACCAGGACTAAAGGAATATGCAGAAACCTAGCTATATGTATTTTGTTCTCCTGGCAACAATTTTTTTCTTTGCAATTGTTGAGAAATGAATCCTCAACAAGGGTGTGGCTTATTCAAGGATCAAATATTTAAAAGAGACTTAGATGCTGGAATGCATCTAAGTCTCTTTTTCACCAGGCATTTTGCGGGGTGGAATTGGAAGCCAAAAGCATCAATTTGAGGCTTAGTGTGCACTTTTTTCCCCTTCATGCTTTTCTACTTAAAAGAAAAGTAGTCATTAAAAAAAGTTCAGAATTGTTGGAGAACCTCAATAGCTCCACTCTCTCCAGAGGAGTATTTCTCAGTTTCAAAGATTTTAAAGTATGTGGACTTTAACTCCTAGCATTTCCTGGCCAGCTGGGAATTCTGGGAGTTGAAGTCTACACATCTTAAATTTGCTGAGATTGAGCACACTGCCCTAGAGAAACTATAATTAAAAAGAGTGTCTCTTAATTTCAGCAGTGGCTCAACTTTCAATTCCTTTCTTAAGGGCAACCTTCATTTAGCTTTTTGGTGAGAATTAAAGAGACAGAATGAAGTTTCAAATCACTAGAGGATTCTTTAAGCAAGCAACTTCCTTTGACAGAATTAAACCGCTGCCATATGAGGCCCAATTATTCCGTCCTTTCACTCCTGATTTCTTGGGTAGTTGAAGTTTCTTGATGTGAAGTAACAAACTTTCTTCACCTGGTATCTTCAGTCCTTTAAACCAGAGGTGGACAATCCCTTGCCCTAGCTCTCATGCAGTCCTCCTAGCGCCTAAGACTGCACAACAGTTTTCATGGGTTATTATATAGAAATAAAAAGATATCTCAAGCAGGCTTAGGAGGCTTATTTTCCCAATCCTTCCACAAAAACATAAAAGGGGGAAACAAATATTTGAGTATGCTTTTTGGGAATTATCATTCTGTCACTATCACACCTTGCTTTATCTCTCAGAAACTGTTAAAAATATTAATAAAAACCAGTTACTCTCACAGTTTTAATTCCAACTTCTGTGGACCCGTTCCATATTTAAGAGATTCCTAAGAGGGTATGAATAAATGCACTAATGTGCCTACCATCCCTGTCACATTTTAATTTTTCCATTTATAAGCTTTGTTTGATGAATTAATACATTAAATAAATAAAAATAAAAACAATATGTCCTCCTCTGTTGTAAATGAACTTCTTCTGTTTCTTGAATTTATCCAGGAAGACCATTTTGTAGTTCTTGGGCCATGTGGCAAGTTGGCTAATGAATGTAATCAGGGAAAGACAAAATGGGAATAATTAAAACCAAAATTGGGTATTCAAAATAATAATCCCAGATTTTTCTTAAATTCATGAATTAATTTTGTTACCATCTACTTTCTTTCATGTTATCTACTTTGAAAGCCACTAACTTGCGGGTTAACTTATTGAAAGTTGTACTGGCTGAGGCAATTAGGTTCACAGAATTATTTGAATGAAAGTTATGATCCCATTTTTTATTTTATCTGGAATTACCCAGAATGGTACCAAGAAATGGGGGGGGGGGGGGGAATGCTGCTACTGTATTGCTGAGCATAAGCTAATACTATAAAAATCCCTACATTTCTTAGTCATGTGGACCTCCCTATCAGGTTGACTGCTTATATCAACAACTGCTCCTAGATTTCATGACTATTGTATTTCATAAGTATTGTTGTCAATTTCTTTGTTTTTAAAGATAATTCACCTCCAAAGCAAGTTAATTACCATAGCTTTCCACATGTCTCCAGCCATAGCCAGCAGGACTATGTGATTATCTTAATTCACATAGATGGCACTGCTTTTTTGTCTGAAGTAGAATTTCAAAGTGAATTAGAAGTTCCTGCTTTGGAGAAACATGCAAGAAAAATAGAGGGAACTAAAGAGAGTTTTGATAAGACAGGTAATGATTTCTGAAATAAGAGTCGGAGATTAATCACATTTCTACATGGGGAAAAAGAAAACATTAATGTTTTATGAAACTAAGCTCTACTATTCAGTGACACAATGTCCTGTTAAATAGGTAAAGAAAATCTCTAGGCAGTGGGAAAGTTCCTCCTGAAATTCAGTGAAAGAAAATTCATGAGTTTTTTTCAAGAGGTTGATACTCAATAAAAATGTCATTTAGTCTGCAATTTTTAGATGAGCAACTTTCTTCTTAGATTTTATTTATCCTGCCTTCATTATTGTTATAAATAACTCAGAGCAGTGAACATTCATAATATTCTTTCTTACTCTCTTTCTCTCCACAACAACAGCCCTGGGGGGGGGGGGGGGGGGGGGGGCTGAGAAAAAACAATTGGCCCAAATTCACCCAACTGATTCCAAGGCAGGACTAGAACTTACCGTTTTTTAGTTTCTAGCCTGTGCCTTAACCACTAGATCAAAATGGCTCTCACAGTTCTTCAACTAATATGGAAAGTGAAATGCAGTTATCCTTTCATTTATATTTCTTTTAATTCTGAGCTGTAATTAAAAAAATGCATGTGATCTTTAAAGGAAAACATTTATGAAAACATGTGGAGGGTTAAGAAATACAGTACTGCATATTTTAGGAGATAATATATACCAGTTGAAAATTTTGAGAGGTTGGGCAATTTGTAGAACAAGGATGAACAAAATGAAGTACACCAAATTATATATGTATGCATGTAGTCTAGGCAGCACATAAAAAGAAGACATGAAAAAATAGTCCAGAATTTTAGTGTAAAATATAGATCTCCATAAATATCAGTTACACATTTTGGAAATGTTTAAAATTTTGTGCAGTACTTCATATATTCTGGTTTGCGAAACATCAAAAATGCTTTGAAATGAAGTAGGAACATCCAATTTGGTTCATTCTTGAAAGCAGCCTCCATTTCAAAGTGGTTCATAGGAGTTCATTTTAAAAATATATTTTCAAGACCAAAATAATTAGTGCCAAAATCAGATTTTGCTTCCATCCAATAATTGTCATCTACATACAAAAATCTGTCTTGTCCTTTGAATCAATATCACAGAAATTAATCTCTTCAACAAATTTCATTGTGTTCCTTTCATTGGGATTTCATACCATCAAAAATAGGAGAACTCAACTTTGGCTAAATCGAAGCCTTATTTGGCATCGTGAATTTTTGCAAGTCATCTTTCTACACAAATAGCTGTCACGTCTTAATACAACTCTGAAATAAACAGGAATAGTCTTAAGCAGCTCTTTCTCCCTAACAATGTTTGGTGGCTGTCATCGTACAGCTGATGGAGTCATACGTATGAGGACTTACTGCCTAAACATTTTGAGGAATCATATCTATCATACAGATTGTCAAACATCCTTCAAATCAGCTACAAAAATATCATAACACAAACCTGCTTCTACACACATATATCCCCTAACTGGGTCAGGCAGCACACACTAAGCTCATTTCTGTGCTGTTTTCATTCAAAGCTTAGCATATGGCAAACAAGAGAACTGACTACTAGCTGGGTCCCATTTCCATTTTTTAAAATCATATTTATCATTTCAGTTTCAGGCACTGACTACAATGAAAGATCAGTTTGCACAAACAAACAGACTATCTTCTTGCCACATCCAATCTAAAACCATGGTAATAATGCGAAACCTTGTTTATTTCAGGCAAACAATATTTACCAATGTAAACCATACCCAAATGGTAGTCTGAAACTTCCTTACCATTCCCTTTTCTTTTTCTTTTTCTTTTAGAAGGACTTTCCCTGTTAAAAAGATATATCCACATATAATTCAAAGTGGCTTGTTTAAAACTTTATAGCTGGTAGCTTAATATATATTTTTCTGTGCTTTGAGTACAAAGGCTATATTGTGCTTTTGTTGGCATCCTTGCTAGTCTGCATGCCAGCGGCATAATTTTCTTCTCTGCAATATGTCAGAGCTATGAGTGCCGAGGGCTCAACAGGTGGCGCTTGGATAAAGTTCTGGCAAATCAAAGAGGTCATGTGGTTATTTCTTTTGTCAAATTATAATTAAATGCAGAACAGAGTCAAATGAATCTCATATTTTTCCTGGTTCAAAACAGAGTGTGAAATTAAATATAATCAGTTTCTAAGGCATAGGCACATCCCGGTGGAAGTTGGCTCCTTATACAAACATACAGCACCTTAACTTTGATCTGGAATAGGACCAATTGTGTGCAACGTGTTCCTCCTGAAAAGATATCGGTGTCAACATTGCTTTAAAATATTTTATTTTTTTTCCAGCTTCTGACATAATTTAAACATAATTCCCTCATCAGTTTGAGTGAAGCTGTCAAACTGCCTCCCTCAAAACCCTTCTTATCAATTGAATCTCCTTCATTGTGAGGGGAAAAAGAGGAATTGTTTTATTACAAACAATGAGCCTGGTCTTGTCCTTCCCATCGTCGCTACCTCTGGAGGAAAGCTGCAGCCCATCTCTCCCTAACAGCTATTCCTGTTTTTCCTACTTGATACACACCTATGTCTTCTTGCTAACCTTATCTTTCGGCTCTTCTTAAATTTAAAGGGCTCCTGGGATTGTGAAGTCCAAAGTCAGATTAGTACATTAAAGTACTTAGGCACAATCTGTGAATGACTTGTCTGCGTGAACATTTTTGGAATAAGAAATGAATGGCGTCCTTACTTCAAATGTCACCTGGTAGGACAATGCTTGAAAATGGTTTATTTTTGTTCGCTCAGTTTCCATCTTATCAGGGATCACATCAACATGACAACATAATACTATGTAACAATGTCAGAAAGCCAAATTAGAAGCTAAAGTGGCTCCTGACCTCAGACCAAGTACAAATTTTATTCTGCCTTACATTCTTTCCAAACCATGATGAAAAATGTCAGGGTTTATGGAAGGTCGATTATTCTTTCTAGATGCTAGAGTGAATCTTATGCAAAAACATTTGCAAAAGACTGTATGAAAGAAGGCTACAAGTAGATCAAACAAGGGTACAGTCCTCTTTAAAATCATGCCAGTATTTCTGAATTAAAAATAAAATAAAACAACCTCCATGTGGTTAATAAATGCTTAAACTGCTTTCAAAATCTTCCAGGTTATATCTAAGTGCTTCATGGAAAAGGTCCTGACTTACCTTCACTAAACAAGTTTGATTCAGCGGGAAACTCAGAGAATAGCATCATGGAAAACTTGGAACTGTAAACCATTAGGAATTCCAGAATAACAAAACAAACTAAAATGAATTGGCAAATATGTGGTTCATTTTGCTTTGGGAACACTCATTATAATATGAGTATTTACTGGGGCACAATATATTATGGAAGCACTGCCATTATATTTTTGTTCCAATTTTAATCAAGTCATAATTAAATCCAAGCATACAAAAGAAGTTACTAACAAAAAAAACCGTTTCTCTGTTGCTGTTTGGGGAGTGACAGGTCCCTCCAGAGAGACCAAATGGTAGGGAATGAGAAGGATCTATGTTTGATGGAGGGGCAGGCAAGTAGGAGAGGAAAGGGTAGGTATGGTGTTCTATGGTAGGAGGTAACAGCATGCTGCATGACGGTTGTGGATGGGAACTGGTGTTCCATGTAGTCAATATTCCCTCATCCCACATAACTGAAATGGGAGTATGAGGTTGTACAGCAGGATAAATGAAGCCTTACAGGTCATTATATTCCTCGCTAACAAATATTTGAATACAAGAGTGCTTGTTCCATTTCCCCATGAAAGACATGAGTTTCCTGCTCCATATTCTCACCCAGATTCAGCTTGTTTCAACATCAGGTTGACATTGAAATGAGGGCTCTGCTACAAGGATATCTACTCAACAAACTGTCAACAGGCCGTCTTAGCATGGACTAAGCAGGGCATGGATAAACTGTGATGTGGGCTAGCCTTGTCTGGGTCATCATAGGGAAGCCCACTGAGGGGTGTTTAAAAGCTGGGTAGCATGAAAAGCAGGAGCTCCTTACCTCCAGAAATTTCTTCTCCCCTGATGGTATACTTCCATTAGCCCCAGTCAAAGCTCAGAGATAGAGACATGGGGTGGACAAAGCAAACCTAACATCCTTCAGGATGTCCTCATCCTCTATAGTTGAGGTGCCATATAGAATTATAGGGAAACAAGGTAGTCAAGAAGGAGCAGAAATGTGGGAGCTGGTGAGTGTTCTGTCCTAAGCCTCACTAAAAAGCACTCAGTCAATTCTGAGTCTTAGCAAAAACCTCTTTAGTTACAATACTGTGAATTATTTCATTCACAGTCAGCCAATAGCTGGGCAAATAGTCTTGCAAAGGTAGACAAATTATCTCAGACCTTTATCAATCTTGGAACACTGCCCGGTGTTCCACACTCACGGTTGGCAGGGAAGGCTGGGTTTACAGGAAATCACAAGGCTAGAATAAAAAAACAACTGAACAAGCGAGTTTTTTCCTGCAAAAGCCCCTCCCCTTTGTTCCTCTTTTAATCCTGGTGGGAGGGGCCATTCATCGTCCACCTGTGGCCTTGCTCCCATGTTGACTCTGAGTTCTCAATTGCTCCTTTCTTTTAGTAGCTCTGTGTGCGCGCAGGCTGGGAACCAGTTCTAACTGCTCCCCAGCCTCACCTCTATCTGAGCCCGAAGGCAGCTGATGACTACCACCCTGCCGTGGCCCCATCTCTGCCTCTGATGTAGATCCCTTGTCTGAGCCTTCCTCAGCCTCCAAGACTGGCCCAGGTTCCTCCACTATCTCCTCACTACTGTCCGACTCTGCTGCCTGTTCCGCCAGCTGCTGGCGGGCCACAACAGTGAGCTGGGCTGAGAGCAGAACACGTATCCCAATGCAAAGGGGGAACAGAACATAATTTTTGCCTGGTTTTCCATGTTCTTCTGCTTGGACTGGGTGAAGAAACTGTCCTTTTCCATAAGTCTCCCTTTTTCTTGCTCAGGTGCTGCACATGGGTAGGCTCCAGAATAAGACTGACATATCCTTTTCTTGGCAGTCATTTATCCATCTCCTGGCACATCCCAAAAGGACTGGCCTGACTCTTTCCACCCACAACTGCTTTCAAAAATAGATAAAGCTTATGCGCCAAGCTCAGATCTCCACTGCGATTCAGATTTCCAAGCTTTCACGCGTCTCTTTGATTATAATTGGTAAACATCAAATGGCAAATGTGTTTTTTTTTGAAGTGGCAGGATATATTTATTTAATTATTTTAGTGTACTTTCCGTTAAATGCTACCTGAAAACACAGAAGTTATAGCCTTTTTTATGAGAGGGTTGTACATGCCAAACTGAAGACAAATGTTGATCGTTTGTTTTATCCTTCAAGATCTACCAATAGCATTTTATTATTGTTATTATTTATTTGGAATGAATAATTTTCATTTTCCCATGGGACAGGCGCTTTATAAGTAATTCCACATCTTACTTCAAATTTATCTGGACCCTTAGTCCATTTTAACTTTCTAAAATTAAGGTTTTAATAATCTTTTGTTGTTTATTCAAAAAAGAAAGAAAGAAAGTTCTTCAATTTGTAGTTAAAACATTTTTTGCTAAGGATTGAAGGAAACTTACCCAGTGTCAGGCCTGCCCAAGAACAAGATAGATCAATATAGCCAAAGTTTAATTCTTTATTTACTTATATCCAATAGACAGCATCTTGCCAGACTAAACCTGTACTACTCTCACCCCAATGGATATGCCCTGGGAGATTCTAGGGAGTGGCTATCCTAACTTTCTTCCTCTGTCTCCTATCTAGTTCTGGACTGTGTTGCCTCTTGTCTCATGCCTACCCCACCCCTCTTGGACTGTGCTCCCTCCTCCCTGGGAAACTGCCATTTCACTGTAGTCTATCATACCTGGTGCTGTAAAATTTGTCAATTGAAAAGTTCTTAAAAAGGAATTAACAAACAATTTCCAAAAGTGATTAGAAAATATGCAAAATTAGTGCCCTTTCAATGGTGCAAATGCAGTTTGAACAAGATGGTTTTGTCTTATCTCCCAGAGCAATGAACCCACTGGAGACCACTATCTTGCAGTCTCCTGAGAAGGGGCAGTTGTCTGGAGCACTTGTGGGTGATCTCAAACTCTCTCTTCATCTGGAGAGGAATGACTGAAGAGCTGGTCTACCTACTGGCTCTTCAGGTCACCATGATTGTTGACTCCATATTTTCAGAGCCATTTTCAGTTCACCATTTCTTCTCCAGAAGTCAGAGAAGGAATACCTTTCTTAAAAATATTCTGTGCCACTAA